GGCTTCATGTCAATGGCTCAGACCAAGGAGACGCTCGCGTCCGGAAACTTCCTCTCCATCATCCACTGTCTGATGCAACTCCGTAAAGTGTGCAACCACCCCGATCTTTTTGAAACCCGACCCATCTCCACCTCCTTTGCAATGCCGCGATCTGTGGCCATGGACTTCAATATCAAGGAATCCCTCGTTCGACGCCGACTCCTCTTTGAACACCCACTCACCAAGATCGATTTGGATTTCCTCAACCTCGCGCCCGTTTCACGGGAAGATATCTCACGACGGCTGGCCGACGACAGTATCAGGCTAATGGCTATTGGCCCGTTCAAGACTCTCCGAGAACGCCAGTACAACCGAACCAACTGGGAGATGGGCTTTGACGGATCCAACATGCAGACCATCTTAGAGTCATTGGAGAACGCCTGTCGCAAGAGGAGAATGGCGGAATTAGAGCGGTGTCTCTACTTCGAGTCCAAGCGGCACGGCCGTCGGCCCGTATACGGTAGCAGCCTTATCGAATTCCTTCGGGCCGGCACCAAGGAACATGCGCTATCCAATGCACCGCTACGGAAGCGCTCGATGGCCGACTGGTTGTCAAGCCGATCCTCCGTCCTCGCGTCGATGATTTTGACCGTTGAGGAACGGGCGCTTGAGATGCATGGCTATGTGCAGAGATTCGCCTGCGTCACCCCCGCTGCTGTCGCCGCGGGCATGAACGAAGCCGCCTTGACTCCCGTCGAGACCCGGCTTTTGACGAATAATCGCCCCAACCCGCCATACGATCCTTTCCACGAGGCACGGATGCGCCTCTCTATTGCGTTCCCGGACAAGAGATTGCTTCAATACGACTGTGGAAAACTGCAGCGCCTTGACAAACTCCTACGTGACCTCAAAGCCGGCGGCCATCGAGCCTTAATCTTCACTCAAATGACCAAGATGCTCGATATCCTCGAACAGTTCCTCAATATCCATGGCCATCGCTATCTCCGCCTTGACGGAACTACGAAAGTGGAGTCCCGGCAGATGCTCACGGAACGATTCAATAGCGATCCCCGCATCCTCGCTTTCATCCTGTCCAGTCGATCCGGTGGTCTCGGTATCAATCTCACGGGCGCCGACACGGTCATCTTCTACGATCTAGATTGGAACCCGGCTATGGACAAGCAATGTCAGGATCGCTGCCACCGTATCGGTCAAACACGCGACGTCCACATCTACCGATTCGTCTCCGAGTATACCATTGAATCCAATATTCTCCGCAAAGCCAACCAGAAGCGCATGCTCGACGATGTCATCATCCAAGAAGGCGAGTTCACCACAGACTACTTCACCAAGCTGAACGCGCAAGGGATAGCCGAACCCGACGAGCGCGACGGCCAAGACGAGGCAAGTGCCGCGATGGACCGAGTCCTCGGCAACCGCGTCGGTGGAACCCGGGTCTTCGAAGCCGCCGAAGACAAGGAGGATCTGGATGCAGCGAAGAACGCTCAGAAAGAACAGGAGCACGCCGACGATGGCGATTTCGAGGAGCACAGCGTCTCGCACGGAACACCGGCTCAGGCGGGAACGCCCTCGGCTGTGGAAGATGGGGTTGCGCCGGTTCCACACGTGTCTGGTGACCAGCCCGATGCAGAATTGGAACCTGGTCACATTGATGACTATCTCTTGCGCTTCATGGAGTGGAACATGAGGGATGAACCCCTGGTTCTGCCGGCGGATAAGAGCAAGAAGAAGTCCAAGAAGGGCAAGGAGCACCATCTCAAGAGGCGTCGCTAGAGCCATTGCGAGATCACTGCTCACCTCCTTTTTTTGACTCCACTCCGTTTCATGTTTCAATATTCCCCTCCTGTTTTCTCTCGATGAGCTTTGTAATAGTCTCTAGTCTCTATGTATAATCTACGCGTTCAACATGTTATCATGTTATCATGTCTATGTGTTTACTTTATTTTATTTTATTTTATTTTATTTCTCTTCTGACTAGCTGTCTTTATGACTTTTTGCTCCATTCTTTTTCCCATTCAACTGTGTTAATCCTACATTAACCAAAAGACAATAGAAATCAATTGGCAGAAATAGACTCATATCCACGCAAATCCGAACTAATTAATTTTCAAATCAATAGTCTATTTCCCGGAGATTATCTTTAACTAGACAAGTGGACCGAAATCCACCCTGGGTCGGCATAGGCCGATCCTTTTGACTCCAACTGTCGGACCCTTGGATCTCAAAGGCTATTGAGGTTTAGTTCGACCTTTGTATATTAATATCAATAGTGTGAGAACCGGGGAATTGTCTATTGTTATTGTACATACGGAGTAGAACATACGGAGTAGATTGGAGTGGAGTAGGAAAAGGTATGGTTACATCGTGTAATTTGTACTCAATCGTGAATCCAGTCTCTATGTAAATATAGTATAACATCATATATGTTGTATATCATATTTATCATATATCATATATATGCATCTATGGAAATTATCAAGTTGAAGAGAACAAAGGGCGATCATCTCGGCTTCTTCCCCCCTTATTCTTGTTTGACATCGAATACTCCAATGAGGACCCATGGGTCAGTCGATCTCCCCAACGCCAATTCCCACCTACCTCGGCAAGTGTTCTCCGAACAAGGATATCAATTGAACGAGCCCGACCGCGTGGTTGAAGTGATGGTGGAGATAGCCCTGAACCCATAACCTGAACCATGAGGAAGTAGGGAGTGGAGCCTCATTCTGCAGGTTGGCCTCGGATACGACTCGGATACGCCTTGCACATGATCTGAAAAGGGAGAAAGTTGGGAGAGAGTTGAGCGTGCTACCGAGTATTTACGGATGTGGACGTTGATTTGACGTGGGTGTGCCCGGTTGGAGTTGGGGCTCCACTGATCTTCCAAATGTCTCTCCCCGAACTCGGGTGAGAGGAAGATAGGTGAGGAATTTAGGGCTTCGCGGAGAGACTCCGTACTCCATTAAGCTTTTGGGAAGTACCTCGTTGGAGGTGCAGCAGATCCATGGTGATCCGGGGATCTCGATACAATTTACATCATCGACTTGATATAATCCTTGCTCCGAATTAGGTGTTTTGAAATGGAAAATACATGGGCATTCCGCTATTGGATCGGGGGGAGAAAGAAAAGAAGATAAAACCATAGGGCCCAGAACTACAGAGATTTTTAAATGGACATTTCTTTGTAGGGCGGCTGTAGACACGTCAAAGGATGGATCTCCCCTTTTAGTTTGGAGGCGCGCGGGTGAGCAAATGCCGATGCGCTATCGGATGTCTCATCGCCTCCTTGGGGAAACCCAGGATTTTTTGAAAGGAATAGATTCTATGTTTATGGAAACAAAGAAAGGGTTTCTCATGTCCGACCAATGACAGAAATATCCAAACCAGAAGTCGGCATTTCTCCAGATTCTCATTCCCGAAGTGGCGGATGGGGACGGAATAAGAAATTCTCACCCATGGGTGAAGAGTGAAGATATGGAGATGGACTGGAGATGGAAGATCCCAACAGCCGAAGCCGGACATTTGCAGTTCGCGAGAGATGTGACATATGCAGGTCGAAGAACGTAAGTAATTGGCACTGAGCGCTTTTCATGCAGTGTCGGGGTCATGCATCTTTGGTTAAATGTCTCTCATATTTTCTCATGAGTAGAGGTGATGGTATTCCGTACTCCGTACTGGTCTGAGAAATCCTGTTCAAGGGGAAATTCAGCATTGTCAACGTGGAGGCCAATAAATCCACCATTGAGTACCCCCCGGGCAGATCGTCGCCGATCAATTTGCCAGATCGATTGGCAGTCGCACGAACTGGTACTCCACGGGCCTAATACCATTGGTTTGAGTCAAGAGGGCTTTACACTAGTTCTGACACCATGTGCCTTAGTGGATTCACTTCCAGCCGAAAGAGAAAAAAAAAAAAAAAAAAAAAAAAAAAAGCATTGGTGCTTTTGGTCGAAGGGAGAACCACTCTTTTCCTATTATAATGCGGGCCCTTTCGAATATTGGAGACCACATGATTCTGCTTTTCTCGGAATTGGAATTGCACATGGTTGCCTCCAGTTAACAGGTTTTGGAGTCAAGCTCTGCTTTTGGATAGACGTCCGGTGCAGAACCGTCGGAACCGTCAGTACCGTCCATTTGAAAGGATCCCGAGGTGGCGGTGATCGGCGACAATAAGGCCTAAGACGCCATTCGCGGGTGAGAGGATGGCTTATCTGGTTTGGAGTATGGTCGTAATGGGATAAAACTGGGGCCTGAAGCCAGGCCCCAAATGCACAGTACATCACTCCTGGGGAACTATAGGCCGTGTTGTCTTCGTATGACCGTTATGCTAGGATCCCCCCCCCCCCCCCCATTCTCGGATTTAATCGGGTTAATGGACCTAACACATGGATCTGAATATCATCTCGATAGGTCAAATGCTGGAAAGCAAAGAAAACCTTCAAAGCCTGTACACCGTCGAGAGGGAGATGATCAATCGAATTCCCATATCCGCTTTGTTCAAACGCGCCAAGCACTCAACTGAGGATAGTAAGACCTAGTAGGTGAGCCGTTCCGCTTGGATGATGTGATCCACTTGGAGTAATGACATCGCCCTGATCGTCGAGATCCATGACCAATGAAGTTTGCTTTGCGAATCTCGTTGATGATCGCCCGCGTGCTGGATGCCACGGACGCTAAGGCCCAATGGATCCCCAAGGGGTGGATTGTGTGCTATAGGGTTCCATAATGACAGACCCGAGACAATGGAGATGTGGAGGTGAGAGGTGAGAGGTGAGAGGAGGGAAGTGGGAAGTGGGAAGTGGGTGATGGGAGATGGGTGTGGCCCTAACAAACCACTCACCTTATTATATTTTTATATTTTTATTCCTCTTAAACATATAATAATCGTTGTCTCGCCTGTTTCCTGTCTGTTTTTTTTGTTGATCACCTCGATCTTCGTTAACTATTCCCCCCCCCCCCCCCCCCCCTTTTTTTTCCACACTCCCCTGGACTGTGCGTCAATAATGAAGACTTCCATCTCATCCGATGTATGGGAGAAGAAGAAGGTGTTGATCTCCAAGCTATATATGGAAGAGGAATGGCCCTTGAAGCAGGTCATCAAACAAATACGTACCGATGATTTCAATCCTAGGTGTGTACACATTCACCTTCATATCCCATGTCCGATACTGGACTCTATCATGGACTATCAACTAACACTTCCAGTGAAACCCAACTACGAAGCAGACTGAAGAAATGGCGAGTGACCAAGCCTTCCCGTCAGACTAGAAAGAAGAGTCTGGCTTCAGCCTCTGGAGAAGACCAAGATTTAGACAAGGATGTGAAGCGCAAAGCATCCACCATCCAAAGACCACTGCCATCATTACCGACAAGAGAGACACCAACCCACCATGAATGGCCCATGACACAACCCAACTACGGACATCCGTCCACCCTCCAACACCCCGTCCCAGATCAGGACCGGAAATGGAGCTCTCCTATGATCCAACAACTCACCCCAAGCCCCTCCGACGAGCACATTTTCAACCCAGACCGCACAACAGCCGTCTCTTATTCAGATCTCAGCCCAACAACGACATCCTTCGACCACTCCCACACCTCCCCAGTCGGCGAGGGTCTCATGCTGAACACAACCTCCGCCGTGGCCCCATCCTACCCAACCTACCCACTCTCACCTGAATCGTGCCTTCCAAGCCCAGGCGCGGCAACGACCCCCGGCGGCATTGGCTGGCCACCCCGCGCTGTTTCAGTAGACTACGGTCTTAACCCATCTCAGTGGTACTCGCTGCCCTTTGAAGCCCTCACTCCCCCAGCCATCCCCCAGTCCACGGCTGCCCCCATGACGCCTTCAATGAACGGCTACCTCCCCCAAGCCCAGCTCTACCATCCCCAGTACCACCACCACTATGGCGAGGTACCAGAGTACCCCCATGGCTATGATGCCAAGAACTGGAAACGTGCTATGTCGTTGCAGTATGATATGGCCGGCCATCTGTCTGCTCGGCCCGAACATGATAGGAAGCAGATGCTCCCGCATACACAACCTCATGGCCAGTCCCATCACATGGCGTCCCCGCCGCATACCCTGCCCGGTGGACCTCATTCGGTGATGTGTGCTCCAATCATGCCTTACATGGGCCATGACCATTATGTGCAGAAGCCTCCGGGCATTGGATACTAGGTGGTAACTTGCACTGGCACTTTTCTTTCTTAATACCTGTGATACCTGCGATATCTTCATACCTGTGATACCTGTGATACCTTGACACCTTGATACCTTGATACCTTGATACTTTGATACCTTGATACGTCGATACATTTTTGTGTGAAATATGGGTGGTTGTTTGTTTTGTCATACCCGATATGTTTTGGTTTTGGGGAGTTTGGATGAAAAGGAAACTGTATATATTGATACCTATTGATTAATTAAGCTTGACGCATCTATATTATGCATACTACCCTTCACATACGTCTAAAAAGACATCCAAAAAGAACATCCGAAGACCCATCGGAGTTGTCCTTACATCTAACATCTCTAATATAATCCAAGGCCAACCATATGCGACTATTGAAGACTTACGTAGGCAGCATGTATACTATTTATATCAATATTAAATGCACGAATAGACCAAATGTTCTATAAATGCCAAGACCCAATCAGTTACCCGAAAAGGAACCTCGGCATCTTGCGGGGAAAACCCCATGTCCCATTCCAGCGCTCTTTTTATTTGAACATCCCCTTCGATCTCCGATCTCTCCACTCAATGAGTTCAGAACTTATCACCTCAATCCCAACATACATCCTTACCACCGTCAAAATGCGTGCCGTCCAAGTCAGCGAATACGTCAAGGTACCTACAACCAATCCCCAAACCTTAACCCCAACCCCAAACTAACCACCCACTTACAGGGCCCTCTAGACCTAAAAGTAACAACAGTCCCGACCCCAACCCCAACAGCGGACAAATACTTAATCGAAATCCACTCGGCCGGCACAAACTTCTTCGATATCCTCCAAATCCAAGGCAAATACCAAAACCAACCACCGCTCCCCTGGATCGGCGGTGCCGAATTCGCCGGCACAATCACCGCCGTGCCCACTTCCCCAAACAACCGCTACAAGCTTGGTGACCGTGTCTTCGGCGCTACACAAGGAGCCTACGCAACACATGTCCTAGCCGCAGAGCAAACCCTCCTCCCCGTGCCGGAGGGATGGAGCTTTGAAGATGCCGCGGGCCTATTCGTCACGGCGCCGACCTCGTATGGCGGTCTTATACAACGCGCTGGCGTGAAGGCCGGGGACTGGGTTCTTGTTCATGCGGCAGCGGGTGGGGTCGGACTTGCTGCTGTGCAGATTGCTAAGGCTATGGGGGCGACTGTTATTGCTACTGCCGGAACCGAGAGGAAGAGGCAGATTGCCAAGGTTTTTGGGGCGGATTATGTGGTTGATTACACCAATAAGGCGTGGCCGGAGGTTGTGAAGGGGATTTGCAAAGAGAATCGGAAGGGAAATGGGGCTGCTGGGGTGGATATTGTTTATGATCCTGTTGGGATGATTGAGACGAGTTTGAAGTGTGTGGCATGGAATGCGCGGTTGTTGGTTATTGGGTTTGCGGCGGGAAAAATTGAAAAGGTAGCGCTGAATCGGGTGCTGTTGAAGAATGTGAGTATTGTTGGCTTGCATTGGGGGCAGTATGCCAAGTTCGAGACGGAGACTGTGGGTGAGGTTTGGCAAGGAATCTTTGACCTTGTTAAGCAGGGGAAGTTCAAGGGGACAGCGTTCAAGGATGAGAGCTTTGTTGGGTTGGAGAGTGTGCCCAGGGCTTTGCAGGCGTTGGGTGGGAGAGAGACTTGGGGAAAGGTTGTTGTGAATATTATTGGGGACTCGAAGAGCAAGCTGTAGTTTTGGGAGGAAGAGAGATACGCGGGAAAGAAATAGATTCGATTCGATATAAACTGATGAATGTAGATGCGCAAGGAGTCATGCTCTCGTAGACAAAGTGAAATCCCCGAAGGGAAAGACTCGAGCAAGTATAACATGAACTATGAAGGCCCTTTGCTTGCTCTGGCAACTTTTGTATTTCAAAAAGTGAGCATGAGTACCCGAAAGTACCCAGCTCGCAATCCAGCTCCAGTCGGTCACGGCTACAAGACGTAGCGCTGTGGTAACTGTTCTCCAGAAGGAGAGCCCTTGAGTATGTCCCAATGGACTGGGGCAGCTGGATTGGGGAGTTGCGGATGACAGAACGTGTCTGGGAGTTGGTATATATATCTGGAATTGGGTTAGTGTAGAGATTTGGATTGATAGACACCATAAATTAGAATAGCATTGAATTCCGATGAATGACGTGAAGGTCTAGAGAGTGTCCAGAGGAAGTTGGCGAGAAAAAAAAGAAGAAAAGGGAAAAATAAAGAAGGATGACTCAGCATGTCCATTCCGCTAATTTTCTGCCGCTTTAAGGCGTAGAGGATATCCATCAACTGTTCTACAGATCTCAAAATAAATGAAATTGTTCAATCTTGATTGTGAGATGTCCTTTGAAACTTCGTCCAAGAATGCATAACATAACATTGGTATCCAGCGTGAACCTCCCTCGTAACAATTCCATCGCGAGGGCCCAATTCTTCGACTACGCCGTCTGCGTTCAAAATATTGCATGATTCACCTTCAAATTCCATGGTCAAATCTTCTGTTATCTCAAAGCAACGGACCATTATATATTCCCTTTCTCCAGCAAGAGCTTTGTCCCCTACCCCTGTCGAGATTTCAAGTAACTTCCAAAGTTGTATCCGATCGCCAAAGCTTGTTGCAGGGCGATGATTGAAGATAACCAAGCGAAAAAAGAGATAATGGCTCTTTTAGATCTTTGAAGAGTGAAACTGTGTTCAATCCTAGACTTAAACCTGTACAATCAGTAAGATATTTTTCAAAGTAACTCGTGGATCTTGGAATCAATAAGTATAGATATGACCGGGTATTGCCATACCTGATGCGTAGACCACGCAAGATCCTTGAATTACTTGGGTTTAATGTGATAAATTTCGTCTCTCCCAATGAGATATAGCCCAGAAGCAAGTCTGTCTTGTACAAACCGCGTGTTCAAGAATTGATGCGCGAAGAAAAGCGGGGTTCTCCCACACCTTTGCCTGGAAATTAAGGTAAAAGTACCTATAGTTATTAACCAATTAGTTAACTAAATTAACCAGGAATTACTTAACCAAGTGCCGTGCAAAGCACCATGGGTGCAAAAAGATATCGGGGCAGAGGTTGCATCAAGCGTTTCTAGGCTGCTAGGCTCGTGGAACTTCCCTACATCACATTTGCCTCTGTAGATGCAGGCAAACGAGGTAACACCTCTAGCAAATGAACCAGTTGATGGTATGATTTCAACCTCGGGGTCATTGAACTCATCCGAGATAATGCTCAGCTGGGAGGTGCCCTGGTCCTTGGGTCCGGCTGGCAATGCCTCACCGGATACCTACAATCCATGGAGATATTGACAATAACGGCCTGATTAATGAGATAGATGTGACGTGAGAAAGGAAGGTGGTCAATGTGAGCTCTTTCTGCTGGTTATTTTGAAGAGCCGGAAGGATTCCCGGTGGACAAGAAAGAACAAGAGGATGAAGAAGAAGAAGAAGAAGTAAAGGACTTGCTTTCTACGGGAAGTATAAATTGGGAAGAGGACATGTGACATGGGACTATGAGGGAAGGTGCATTGGGTGTCCATTTTAGGAAGGTACCTCTAGTCACTAAGAGACACGTCCACGTCCCGGCATGATGAGACAAGAGCAAACATGTCCACTTAGTGCCTCTACAATCATGGTATCTAGGAACCTGACAGTCTTGATATGAGCTCCGTGTGATAATCAGCTACTCTATGTCCAGATCTATCCTAGTCACGAAATTTGTCTCTGCGCACTCAGGACTGTTTCAGTTGGCTACATAGTAACTGTAATTGCTCACGATAACTGGTCCATGTCTGAAAAGATCCCTAACAAGCTATAGTGGAACCATGTCTTGGTAAAGGCTTATCTATATTATATGCCGGGGCCAAGGGTCTAATTAGCCGGGGTTTATATATGTTGTAGCGCCTGGGAAGATATTTAGCCCTACTTGCCCAAGTAAATTCCGGCTACCGCAGGTAAAGTGACGCACTTCATTTACAACCGGTGCTAGATCAAGTAAATGTTATTTTCATTTCCCTTCAAATCGTAATACCGGAAGCGACGGAAACAAATTAGATTGGGGAGCCCCGAGGAGTTTCCTATTTAGTTAGCAATGCGGGATATATTAGGTTCCGTAATCTAGAAAAACAAATATGATCGGGACGCTAACGTTTGGTCTGATCCTGTAGAGTGATCGCGTGACCAGTTTATAATGTTCTGTGAGTAACACCTCGTATCTTGTGGAGACTACATACATACATATAGGTATACCTAGGCTGAATAGACCGGTTTGACCGAAGATAAGCAGTCGGATTCCGGGTACCTACAGGACTAGGGAGGTGGGGAATTGGGGGAATTAGAAACTTCCAAGGTTGACATGGTGACGAGTTGATCGTCGTAGTGATCTTTTAGTAAAACCGCCTGTTCATTTTTTACCCCTTCTAGTCAGTGGTCTCATGTCTACTTGCCTTCATACGACTGCAAAACCGCTCGTCTGACCCATTCTGGTCAATGGTGTCAGATCCCACTGCCCTAGGGGTATCAATCTCAAGATGAAAATCTTATATAAAGGACATTCTCAGCATGCCAATTCAATTGTTTATCATTCATCTCTTCTATTCCATAAATATTCGTTCTGTTATTTAATCCACACCTCAAGATGCGAGTCATAGAACTTGGCGTTTTGGCTCAACTTGCCGTCTCTGTGAGCAGTCTAGCTGTCCTAGGTGGTGATGAGGTCCGGAACCACTTGGTCAAGGCTCGTACGGGAACCGCTGCTTCTAGCTCGGCACCGTCTGCTCCTACTGGAGATTCTTGGAAGACCATAAAATGCTCTGAGGTCCAGGGTGATGCACAGAGTCAATGGAAAGAGGCAGGTGCACTATCTGCTTGGAATACCACCATTGCGGCCTGGGAGCAGAACCCGAGCGGTGGCTTCCCCCAATACGTCAGTAGCTATCTCCATGGACCTGGAGGTATGAGATGCGGTGACATTGGCTCTGAGAACCGTTGTTCCCTGCCTGTGGATTGCCAGGATGCTACTATTCCAGGCGGGTAAGTCCCATCATCTGTTCCCTGTTATGCAGTATCACTAATGACAAGGTAGCGCCCTGATTCTGAATGGTTTTGCGGGAATTCATGAAGTATGTCACCAACCTGTCGGCCATTCCTTCGGCCTAAATGTACTAAATTACCTGCCTAGCTTCATGCCTCGGCTTTCCAGGCTATCGGGGGTATTCAGGCCGATGTGACGGACCAAATTGGCACCTTCACATCCACCTTCGCCCCTCAGCCTCCTAATACGGGGCTCCTCCAGAAGAACATCTTCGATGCTGCAGCATTGATCTTTAGCTTTGGCACATCTATGTTGTTCAACGTCGGTATGTTACTCCCTTTGGTTACCAAGTCAACAGGATATGAGGTCTAACATTTGCCCAGCCCTCAAGCAAATGGAGAATGTAATTGCCAAAGCCATTATGGCTGACATGACGGGTGCTGTCTTTGGTACCGCCACTTCCTATTACAAGACGAACATGAAAGGGTACTACCTCCTCCCCTCACTTCAAAGATACCCCAGCCTGACGAATTGATAGTGCGATAGAGGGACTGCAGGTCCAGAACACTCTCGCTTCCTTCCTGGGCGAGACCATGTCAGCCTGGAAGGGTATTGAGTCGGGTTATCTAGAGGCAATATTCTCTGGGAACGCCGGCAGCAATGGCACCGATGCTCTTTATGCCATGATTAACAATGGAGCCATGGGAGAAGTTATGAATAACATCAACCTCAACGGCACGAGTAAGGATGTGCAAAAGATTCTTTATGGCCAGATGATTCCGTACGCGTGGAGTGTTTCTCCGGACCACGCGCGTCCTTTCATCTGGTAAGTTAGTTTAACAAGCAACCCTGTTTTTTCTTTTTTTTTTTCTTGCAAAAAGGCTGACTCGCCCCGGCGACCAAAGGCAGAGCGAAGATGAATGCGACGGAACCACCAAGTCCATCCCCGAGGACGCCGCCAACTTCGTGTCCAACGATGACGCGGTCAAGACCAATGTTTGCTATAATGGCAAGATACATTACGTGCTGAACGGTCACAGCATCGCGGGGACCGGTTTCCCTGCTAGTGCCCTTCCCGGTGGAGACCATAACACTCTGGATGGAACCAACTGGGGTGGAATTATCCTCGAAGACATTGTCGAAAGCTGCGTGTCGGGATGGACCAATAACAACTACCAGAACGGTTACCCGCGCCCTGATTCTAATAGCATCGTGAACAGCTTCAGCGGGGATGTCCCTAGCGTTCGAACTCCTGGATTCATGAGTTTGCCAGTGTGTACAAATGCCACCGCCATCATTAACACAATGCAACAGGGTAATGGGAACTCACCTTACTGGCCCTGTGAAGACCCCGAGGGATACACTAGCAGTGGTACCAACATTGTAAGTTTGCTGGACTGGGCCCCCTATCACTCCTACCCGCGACTAATTTAGACAATAGCATGTTAGCAGCGGTTGTATTGTGATTAATGATTCAAAGCGCTGCCAAACCTGGGGTGGAGCTTATAGTAAGTCGCATCATTGTTCTTTATCAGGGAGTCAGGCTGATAGTTCTAGACGTCGCGGATCAGAACACTGCTGATAGCACCGCTACCATCTATGCCAAGTTCGACGGCGACAATACTCTGAATGCTAAAGTGACTCCCGGTTGCAAGCTCATGGCATCATGGCCGCGCGACTATGGTGATCTGGACTTCACCGATAACTGTCTCAAGGATCGCAGTGGGGACTATAGCCAGTGCTGCACCGATGACACAACCACCACTGATGTTGTCAACAACCCATATGCCCCTTGATGAGGCAGCAAATTGAAATGTGGATGTATCTTTCTTTATCTGCACCCCAGATGCGGCCATAAGCATAAGTGTACATGTTCATGGAGGTGTCAAAGCCATTGAAGAAATTGTGGTTTGTCAACAAACTCCACATCTAATCTATAGAAAATAGACCAACGTACCCTAAAGGGTGATCTGAAGGGTGATGTGACACTAAACTATTAGGGAAGGTGCGTTGGAGATTGTCCATCCTAGGAAGGCACCTGGGATGTGACCATATAACAGAACCTCTCCCACCCTTCCTCCTCTTCCCTTCTTCTTCCTCTCTTCTTCCTCCAGTTCTCTCCGTCTCGACTACCATCTCACCGTAGCCCCCATAAGACAACATAGGGGGAGGGTCCCGTAGGAACCTGGATGCATATGCATGAGACATCAACATCGTTGAGGCCTATACAGGTCCACACCCAAATCAAACGGAGCTTTCTCGTGTGTGTGTTCTCTACCAAGTGGCTAAGCATTTGGGTACCATAGTCACTTGACGAGTCCCACAGAATACGTTGGGGGTGTTCAATCACACCCTCTTTCATTATGTATGGTAGTCACTTAGGTAGTCGCCGAATACATTTACAGTCAAGTACGCGTAGATTTTATTAGAGTCATGTTTCAATTCACATACATTTGATTCAATTACTCTATGGAAAACTGTCTGTAAGATAGCCCCAAGATCGTAACCATCAAGGACATAGGTAGATGCAGATGCAGAAATCCCAAACACAAGACATGAAACTGAGAAGAGAGGGAAAAAGAAGAAAATCATAACATCATGGTAATCGTTCAGATCATAGGTAGCTTTCAAATGGTTTTTCAATAAGTGTCATCAATGCCGTGAAGCCGATCACACTTAGTGATGACGCTCACGCATCTCAACAACAGTGGCCCAACCCTCACAACAAGACCGGTTCATGTTATGTCCACACCAGCAGCAGGTCACCTTGCGGGGAAGAAGAGGCGCAGGCCGTAGATCGGGCGTGCCCTGGGTAACATTGGGAGCTGGGAATTGACCGAATGGCAGCGATCGTGAGCCTGTCAGCTGGCGGGTACCACCGTCGGGTTGTTTCTTGGAGCGGGATCCGCCCAGCTTGGAATCCAATCCCAGGGGCTCGGGGCAGGCGAGACGCGCGTAGACTTCGGGAGGTAGGTCGTGCCAGTACTTGCAGCGACAGCAGATTACGAAGACCTTGTCGATGGATTGTGGGCTGCAGGCTGCTTTCGCTTTTTGGGATCTTCGTTTGAGGATGCTCATGGGACCTAGCCGTGTTTGGGGGCTGCCGGGTTGGGTTCCCAGTTGAGTGCTGGGCTGCATGCTAGGATGAATGTCGGGCTGAGTGCTAGGTTGTATGCTCCGATAAGCATTGGGACGAGGACCAGGCTGCTGGATAGGCTGCAAGACAGGCTGGGTGCTGGACTGGGTGCTGTGTTGGATGCCAGATTGGATGTCTGGCCGGGTACTGGCTTGAATGAGTGGGCTAACGGGGGCCTCCTGTACGACTGGCGCTTCAGCAGCAGAGATTGACGGAGTGGCATCCACGCGAGTCAGCGAATTTCGTTTGAATCCAGGAGATTCAGGTGCATCTTCGTCAGCAGTATCATAATTTGAATGACCGTCATGGGAGGAGGTGCGTGAAGGACTGCGGCTATGTCCTGGTATGAATCCTCCAGGTCCTCCAATAGCAAGAATATTTCCAGGGAGTTCGGTGGAAGTGCGAGAAGCTCGGCGGGGAGGTCTCGCGGGAACAGTGTAATTGTCATCCGACAGGTCTTTTAACGTTCGGTTGTTTCTCTCGCCGGGCGAAACGCTTCCTGTATGCAATGGAGATCTGACGGCTACCTGGAAAGGAGAGGCCGGGATGTCTTTGAGCGTATCGGCTGACGTCGTTGGCATTATCCGAATTTCAAGACTCCGTCTGTCGCTCTTGACTGGGATCTGGGGCAGTTCGATCGACTGCGGAGTTTCTTGGAAGTTTTCTTTGAAACGACTCGAGGTTCGTTTGGGGATATGCGACGAAGCGATAGGCAATCGACTTCTTCCCCGATCCTCGGGATGAGGTTGAGCGGGGGATTGCGGTGGCTGGGATGGGTTTGCATCAAGGCCTTGTGCTGTCGATGGTCTTGGAATCTTGGAATCATTCTGGGACGATTCATCCGTAATTGCAGGATTGAGCGCAAGGGGAGACGACTTGTATGCTCGCGGGAGGGGATCTACTCGGCCCTTCCTAGCAAGTATTAGTGCTGAGTTGAGTGGTGGTGGATACGGCCTGGCACTGGATGGACTCGATGGATTGTCTGGAGTTTCTGTAGGTGTTAACTTCTGCAACTGACGAGCGGTGGTAACCTGAGTAGGCGAATCAGTATGACCGGACGAAGGGAAGTTAGGCTGGCTCATGCTTTGCGACGTTGGCATGCTAGTAGCCCTGGCAGAACGGCCATGGCGAGTCGCACGATCAAGGGGATTATCTGCCGCGGGCCCACTCTTCCGGTCATGCTTCAGAGCCGCAGAGAACAACTCCCTGTCCAGATCGTCCGAGGATACTGGTGTCTTGCCGTTTCGAGCACCTTTCCCAATCATGGACCGAGTACGCTTGGAGATCTGCTCCGAAACTGACCGATTGGCCTCACGTCCATCCTTTGTTTTCCAGGCTTCAGCCATCCTCCAGTTCTCACGAAGATCATCAGACTTTACCGAGGAGTGCAAACGGTTGTGCTGAGTTGGGTTGGATATTTTGTTCGAAGCGGATAGGTTTAGTGCGGTGCCATGCTTGGACTGTAGCTCTCGGGTGATGGCCGTTCCAAACCTTTCCGGTAGAGTCAAAGGCAGAGATGGTGGGTTCGTATCGGTCCTAAGCTGGCTAAACTCGGCAGACGGAAAATCTTGCTCACTCGACTTTGAATTCCGGCGTGAACGCCGGAATATCGAGGACAGGCTACTTGACGATCTCGGACGCTCTGCATTTGCACTGGAGCTTCTGCTTGAGCTGCTCACGGGTTGTTTTTTGGTCAAACGGCGAGAGGATCTTTCATGGACTCCGAGGTCGCCCTTGGATTGGGCATCCTCCAGTGCTAGCAACCGCTTCTCGAGCTCCTTTCTCTCGGCTTCTAGGCGCTTTGTGACCCGCTTTTCTTTCTTTTTGGGCTTGTCCCAGGTTGGCGATTTGCAGATATTGTCTACATCTGCGCTGGGATAGTTAGGCAAGGGCGTCATTTGTTGGGTCGGAGTCTCATCCTTCATAGGGGCCCCATTTGCGGCTGATAGACTTGAGCCAGGTGTGCCGGTGGAGGGCAAGCGAGAGTTGGAGGAGTAAGAGAGCGAGCTGGGCCCTGTCTTATCGTGAAGAGAGTGCCTCGCATGGGAATTATTGTTGGTGGTCGCCTCATGTGCGAGAGCTTCGCGGGCGAGAAAGGGAACCGGGGGAACAAATTCACCATTTTGACTGTGTCGTTTCTTCGAGGGGTTAAATGAAGTTCCTCCACATTTTTTTACTGTGGTTCACTTACATCCATGGATTTGCTAAAGACGCGGTGGATGTGGTCCGAGATGGATGATCGACGGGCCCTGCGGGGCGGATTTGTGGAGGCCTCCATTGGCGTTGAACTGGTTGAGCGAATGTCTGACCTGAAAAGAAGCGAGTGACATTGAACTGGGAAACGGCCCAGAGATCAAGGAATCATGGGTCGTGAGACATGAGACGTGAGATGAGTGAGTCGTAAGTCGTAAGTCGCGAGTCAAGCAGAGAAACAAAAACGAAGGACAAAGGCCCGAGGCCAAATCAAAACACAGAAAAAGAAGAAAAAGAAGAAGGGAAAGAGAAAGGGAAAGGAAAAGGAAAAGGAAAAGGAAAAGAGAAAGAAAGCGTTAAACAGTCGAGAATCGAAGAAATTCCGAATGTGCTGGTATTGGCTGCAGCTGAAACCCCTGGGGCTATTGGCCTATTCTTAGTGTGTGGTTTTTTTTCTTTTCTGATCTGTCGATTTATATGTTGTAGATGTAGTTATCTACAATTGATCTACAATTGGTATACAATTTATATAAACATAATTCATACCTAATAAGTAACAAACTCCCTAATCCACAGAAACTAAACCGGTCCAATTCCAAACTCTTTGCATGATGAAACTGTCAGAATTGTCAGAATTGTCAAAATTGTCAGAACGAGAGAATCCAATCCGAAGCCCAAAGTCAAAGAGTCACACCCCTCCGCTTGGCATCAAAATCAAAATCTCGCCTTTTACATCTCCCTAACTCCACACAACCAGCCTTAAAACTGTTACTCGGTGATACAAAAAAAAAAAAGAAAGAAAGAATACAAAAGGAAAGCTACACAATGTCCAACCAACCCCACGACTTACCGCCAAGTTATGATGCATCACAACAATCCTGGGGGATCTCCGGCACCCAGCCACAGACCGCAGCCTCAGGCCATCCACCTCCATATCACAACTGGCAAGAAGCAGTCCCAGACACAGCCACATTTCCACCACCCCCAATCACCGGCTATCTAATTTCAGGCACAGGGAACGCCTCTGAAGACGACGCCCAACGCGCCCATGATTTCTGTGACTCTGTGCCCCTCTGGCTTCCCACTCAGCCCTCAACTGCGGTCTACCACGACGTGCAGGCCTACGATCTTCGACCCGTGCAGCCAGCCGAGCTGCGTGGCCATGTCTCGGCTGTTGCACGTGGTCGCTGGCGTGGACACAGTGCTGATGGGAACGGGGATTGTGTCATTCTTACCCAGTTGCCCATGTACTTCCCTGCTGCAGACTCGCCGTTTGAGCGGGAGCAGAAGAAGACCATCTACTTTGAGGTTAAATTGTTGGCATTAAGGGCGGGACCGACACCACAGGATTGTAGTGGACTTTCCATTGGCTTTGCTGCGCAGCCTTATCCGTCGTGGAGATCACCTGGTTGGGAGAGAGGTGGGTTGGGAGTGTTCTCGGATGATGGATGTCGATTTGTGAATGAT